CTTATGATTTGCTCATATTATTCATATTTCCCTTATATTATTCGTGGCCTTCTCATAGTATATATGCCTCATTCATATTCTTCATTCGTAACTCTTTTTATTCATGCTCCTATAGCATATGTACATGCCTGACTCATTCATTCTAATCTTACAGGCTATTCGTGCTTAGGAATCACATACAAAAAGCTCTGTGTGTGTTGGGTTTTCTGTGTGTAATTATGCATGGAGCCGCAATGCACACAGTTCTGTGTGAATCCAGCCGCAGCTTTCTGTATCGTCCACACAAAGAACATTTCATTTCTTAACAGATATTGATTTAAGCTGGAGCTTCGTAACGTGCCTTATGTGGCTAGCATTATTTGATAATGAACTACAACTACTGCGATATAAACTGTGGTGCAAAGGATATAACTTCTGTCTCTTATACACATCTAGATGTGTATAAGAGACAGGTTGATAACATTGATACAAGGCCAGAGTATCACGCAGCACTGTTGATACCAGGCCAATTTATCACTTAGAAGAACCCCCGTTGCTATCATGTCATGCAGTGTATCACCCTCTACAATGGTTATAAATTGAAAATTTTTTCGCTCAAAAACAAAAATTCAACACCGTGAAGAGTCCAAGCAAAACACAACTGCTTGCAATAATTATGCAATTTTTTATTATATTTCTGTGAAAATGAAACAGTCTGGCATATTCTAGCGAACATGCATCTGTCGTGAACATACTAGTGAACAGAAAAGTTTTGGAAATGTTCAACCAACTAAAATAAATCCGGAATATATTTGTGAACATGTAAATGTTGGGCATATCTCCTTGAACATGTCCGTTCACTCACCAGGAATCTTGCCTTTCTCGCGGTTCCAAATATCGTTCCCGATATTCCAGCCACATTCCCGACGCCGTCTCGACTCCCAATCCCGACGCGTAAGCTGATTACCTGTTGCGTGGTAACTACTGCGATATAAACTGTGGTGCAAAGGATATAACTTTGCACCACAGTTCTTGTAAGGGATATCCATTATCTCTGATGAGGCTAATTACTTGAATAAAGTATAATGATTCTTCCTTTACTAAGGGATAGAGGATATTACTTCATCAAATAGTATAAATGATATTATTCCACTGTGCATATCAGGGTATTACAATTACGCGATTGGCTCCTAATCTCCGTTTAGTTGACTTTATCCAACAAATAATTTAATAATTGATGTGTAAACAGATTACCCGCGAAATTAAGAAGGCTTAATCGTATCTCTCGTAAACGAACTTCGCTTCACCGGCGATGATTCGTGAACTATAATGTCCTGAATTGCATTCATTATAACGTGTGATTTATTCATTACTTATTCTATTAAAATTTATTCACTTGCTCACGGATCTAATAATTAATGCAGGCAGATGGCAGTGCTTTGTTTCACTCATGCACTCACTCATTATTGGAATCTAGAGTTTATTCGAGGCTTCTTTCTTGCACTTATTGCGATATCATTAATTTTTCTGTTAGTTTAATCTTGCACCCTTCCATTATTTTCCTGATCCTATCATCTAAATTTATATTTTTACATCCACCTTTATATTTTTTACATACCTACCTTTATATTTTTTCACCCAACCACAGCACTAGCCCTCAACTACAAATGCCTTAATTTACATATTATTTATTTCAGCGGCTCATTATTTCAATTATATTCATTCAGCCACATTGTTCTCATTCCTCAATAATTTTAGTATAAAAGACAAAGGTCATTGAAATCATTTGAATAACTTTCTATTACCTGCCTATATTATTTTTAGGTTCAGTATATCCTCTAGGGCGCCATGAAGTTCCTAGGTCTTGATGCTTCATATACTAGACACCTATATAGTATCTAGGCGGCCAATTACCTTATGACCTTATGATGAGTTTAGGACTTCGTACTCCATGGTCAAGCTGATGCTCCGCCTTCATCGTCCTAGCACACACTTGGCCACCGGTAGAACGACTATAATTCTTAAGCGTGTTGTATAGCTCCTGCTGTGCTCTATAAGCAATCCAGACGTCGGTGGCCACTGACTAGCGCACTCGTGGCCACGGATAACTCGACCATAATACGCCCACGTATTGCTGCCCAAGCGAACGCAAGGCAGGCGTAACCGCTGAGCAGGCGGCATATTGATGAGCATGCGTGCGTAATTATTCATGAGATGCCGCAGCCCGCGCAGCTGCAGTCATAAAATCTCTACTGCTGCAAAGAGCCGAACGCTGTCGAATATTCATAATATACATTCAGCCTTTGACGTTTTCGTCCCTAACTTATATTAACATGCATGGTTTTGAGGACTTGGAACGAGGGATATTGATGTCTGTGTTGCCGTGTCGCTCGCTTTATTTGCCTTCGGTTACTTTCTCATAGCAGGCGACTTTGTTTGCCTTCGTTTGCTGTCATTCTTCACCCAATAACTGATTGTTATTGATGCATTTACTGATACACAACAACATTATTGGCTGTTTCGTCAAACTGCCTAATAATAAAAATAATCCTGGATTTTTTATGCACTAAAAGAATTACTCTTTGCTCTTCCCGTAAGGCCCATCAATCTCCAGCGTAGGATTATGCCTATCAATTTGCGCTGTATAATATCATACACTGCAGCCGGTGCCTTCACTGCAAAATATCATACACTGCAGCCGGTGCCTTCACTGCAAAATATACACTGCAGCCGGTGCCTTTACTGCAAAATATTATATTCTGCATCATTATAAATATTGGCAGCGCTATATGTAAGCTACAGCGCTGACAGCATTAATATTTATTTTGATTAATTTTAAATATATTGAAATATTAATATTTATTTTGATCGTAGAAGCTGCTATATTTGCATTACATATTAATGTACCTGAGAATTCTCTCCAACGTATCGTCTGTTCAATTTCGCAAAAATTTGACACGCTTTCACACTAGTTTTCCAGAAGTTTAGTATAGCATCTCCGGAAAATCCTCATAAAGAACTTTCATTACCTTTGTCTAATACTTCTAAGCAATTATATTTACCATTGTCAAATAATTCTCCTACAGCCCCCTCGCTACACCTGCTCTTATGAAACGCTCATTCCCCGCAATTTTTTATCCCCGAGTTTCAGTTTGAGTGTGCAAAACTGCCGGCATTTGTTTCATGAAAACGAAGACACCGCTGCAGCGGGCCGAGCTACGCGATATTGTTTATATACAAGTAAAGTTTGTCCTCTTGTTCCTTGCTACTTTTTTTGTCTTCGAACGGCGTTGGTCAGACGCAAAAAATTAATTGCTCTTTTTGGGCGCTCTTTTTGGGCCACTTGACAGATGTTGCCTCGACAGCCGCTGTTCTTGTCACTCGTTGCTGTAGTTGACATAAAAACTTTTCTACGCGCGTCTATATATATACGACGATTTTAGAATCAATGTTTTGTTTTCTGCTGTTCTTTGCAGATGAATTATATAAACTGGCATCGTTTATGATCCAGCTTCTGCTTTTCTTGTGGCCATTTGTTTGATGTTGAAGTTGAAGTCAGGGCACTTGGATTTATTGTCTTGCAGTTGATATTTTCTGAGAGGATGGAGGTTAAATTCAACGGCTGCTTCCAGTGCAAACTTTATGCTGACAATTTCACATTTCCTAAGCGAATCTTTGCTTGATAATCCATTGTACTATGTATATTAAGTTTACTATTAATAATCTAAATTTGTAATAGACTTGTGAGGTACGCAACAAACAATGTTTGAATGTGTAAATGTACATGCTGCTGTATGTGAGCTTTAAGAGAACTCATTCACTATCATGGAAACAATATTTGGAACGTACAATCATTCCTTGTTATCATCATGCTCAAATCACTATTTCTCATGTCGTAAAGTTATCCCTTGTTATCACCATGCTCATATCATTATCTCTCATGTCGTAAAGTTATCTCTCTCTCCCTCCACTCTTTCTAACGACATCGTAAATTTTCTCTCGGCAGTCGAGCGATCTTGCAGAACCCCGACGTGGTGGGGGGGCTGGGTGGGGGCAAGTGGGGGGTGTGGACCCACGACTTCTGGGGGGCGCCCCTCAACCGACGAGGGTCACATGGGTCGTGGCGACCCCTCACTACCCTCACTTATAGGTGAATATATATGATCTACTTATGGTTAATGAGTACCCTACTTATGGCTGAGTTACTAGCAATTCACTATTAGCATAGTGAATTGGAAACTATTATATATCATATTAGCAAACTATTAGCAATTCACTATTTCTATTATCACTCACAAAAATCGATGGGTCATTATGTCTAAATAGTGACTCACTTGCTGCGTGTAGCAGCTAAACGTTATTTTCCGGGTCAAAATAAGTCAGGATGACACACATATGAGCGAATTGCATCACTTGTTCAAGGTCTCATTAATTTATCTGAGAGTAATAGTAACTATTCATTAGTGATCAGTGAGTGAATGTAATCACCCTCACAGGTGAGTACATCCCTCAGTCTCTGATGAGTGGCACTTTTTCTGATGATGAGAGTTTTGTCTGATTACTAAAGTCTGATAAATTAAAGTCTAATAAATTAAAGTCTAATAAATTAAAGTCTAATAAATTAAAGTCTAATAAATTAAAGTCTAATAAATTAAAGTCTGATACGGTATACTGTCTGATATTTTGTCTGATTAATAATGTCTGAAAAGTTTTAGATGATAAATTAAAGTCTGATATCTTGTCTGATTACTAAAGTCTGATAAATGAAAGTTTGATATCTTGTCTCATTATTAAAATCTGATAAATTAATGTCTGAGATTTTGTCTGATCAAAACGGGATTAATTTGTTGTGTGTTTTTTTTCAGATGGAACGCGTTGATAGCCTCAGCTGTGGCGTCTAGGAAGAGAACATCTCAACATTCCCATTCTAGCGCCCCACACTCCCATTCCAGCGCACCACATTCCCATTCCAGCTCAACAAATTCCCATTCCAGCGCACCACATTCCCATTCCAGCGCACCACATTCCCATTCCAGCTCAACAAATTCCCATTCCAGCGCACCAGATTCCCATTCCAGCGCACCACACTCCCATTCCAGCGCACCACACTCCCATTCCAGCGCACCACACTCCCATTCCCTCGAGCATCATTCTTTTTTAAACACAATCCCTCATCATGAACATAAAACACATACAGAGCGCCGTAAAAAGTATCGGATTAGAGAAACTTTTTCAATTTCGGAAAATGAAGTTCTAGATGAAAGAGGATCACACGGTGCAGTTCACTCCGATGCTCTACAGCTGAAAAAATTCATCGTGCAAAGCATCGGTAGTAAAAAGTGCAGAATTTTTAGCGCTTCTGATTATTTTGAGGATGCAGTTAGTAGATTTTCAAGTCCGAGTTCAGTTTTAACAAAGAAAAAAATCCGTACCCTCGAAAATAGCCGCACGGCGAACTTAAATGCTCATAGAAGTGATGAGTTTGAGCCTGAAAATTCCCGTGCTTTAGAGAATGATGAATTTAATAGTCAGTGCAATGATAGTTTCCGAGAATTTTATTTGAAACGCCATGATTTTTTAGGGGATGAAGTAATTAATCAATTAAATGATGTGCCAAGACGTGCTAACTCACGAATTTCGGGGAGTAGTGACACAGCTAGTGACGGCCGCTTCACTAACACGGCGGGCACTAAAACTAATGGCAAAGAGAAGCCATCCACTAGTAGATGGGCTGGAGCTACTAGTGAGCAAGCTAGTAGTGTCACAGCAAATAGTGGTGATGCCACTGAGACAGCCACTGATAACAGCGGACAATTCAGTGACGTGATTATGTCCCCTGTAACTAGTGACCCAGTGAATGATATATATAAAATAAATGGTGATCCATTGCCAGTAACTAATGGCATCAGAAGTGATGGTAGTCAAGCACTGCCCTTCAGTAACGTCCTGACTAGTGCTGACAGCAGTGACGCTGTGCCAATAACAAGCAGCACTAGGATTGATGCACCTAGTGACAGTGACGAAGTCACCAAGACGTTAATAGAAACTTCCTGTATTTTCCACGTCACGAACGTCATCCTGCACGCATGCGTCACTGTCTCGTACGTCACGATGCTGCGTCACGCCGCCGTTTCCAGGTAATACGGTACCGTAACTGCACGTTAACACGGCACAGTAACTGCACGGTAATACGGTACAGTAACTGCACGGTGACACGGCACAGTAACTGCACGGTAACACGGCACAGTAACATGGCACAGTAACTGCACGGTAACAGGGCACAGTAACTGCACGGTAACACGGCACAGTAACTGCACGGTAACACGGCACAGTAACTGCACGGTAACACGGTACTGCACAGTATTTGCAATTATGTGATAAATATACCTCTTCTGGGCATAAGATGTACATATTTTGAGCCTAAGTGATACCGTTCATATTGGATGAAAATAGCTTTGTGTCTTAAGTTTTTGCTCTAATTATTTATCGTATAATACGTGTGAACTGAGTTTCTTCTTTTCACTAAAGATTTATCAATAGAGATCTCAAAAGTTCCCATTAAGTGTTCTTTTTTTGTCCACTTGGTTCATTATTGACAAACATTGTCTAGTATGATGCGAAATTTCGTCATTCATTTCTGATGTCTTTATGTCGCCAATTTCATCATGAATCGTGCCTGCTCCTATTATATTCACACGTAAATTTCACTCACTTATACTTATGATTTGCTTAAACTTCTCAATGTAGTCCATATATTCTCAATTTGCCACACAGAATTTCTGGTGGAAACGCGAAGTAGAGTTTCTGACCGGCAAGCCTGAGCACTGTGAGCAGCATGTCCTTACCTGTTTTTTTAGGGGATAAAATGGCAAGTGCGAACTGCCTGCTACTGCGAGAGCAGCAAAAATATCGTTTCATAACGCCAGTTGTATGGTTTATTTATCTGAAATATCAGCGTTGTCGCTGCTTAGTTGAATGGTTTATTTGTCTGAAATATCAGCGTTGTCGCTGCTCGGAGTCTACGCAGGTTTACGCAGGACTCTGTCCCAATGAGCCATACTTTCAAAACTCACTAAGTGAACGTAAGTACTTACGCTCTATTTTCTTGTCTATGATTGGTGGATTTTGCTTGAAAAGCCGTCAATGATTTGCTGATGAACTTACGATCTCTTAACTTTTTTTGAAAGTATGGCTCCTGGTGTAGATGTAGATTGTAACAGGGCATGCACTTTGCACTGCCATAGGGTGGTGGCGGTAGCTGCAGGCGCGGTGTTCGCCGTACATCCTGTGCACTGCGAGGCGGTAGCCAGTCTCGTGGGGCGCGCCGAGCTGCTCGCCGCCCTCTGCTTCTCACTCGCCCTCTCGTCCTGCGTCGCCTCCTGCCGCGCCTCCTTCAGCCATAACTCTTCCTGCCGGGCTAACTCCTGCCGAGCCTCCTGCGCCTCCTTCTGTTCCGCTAGCGGACGTGTGAGTGCTCTATAATTTTATACGTGCTTAACTGGCTCAATATCGGGACCAGGTGTTACTACCTAACTCGCTTGATGTCACCGCGTATTGAAAATCATGAGCTCTCTCGTGATTTTTAGTGTAAGAAAAAACGTGTAAGTAAAAAAAGTACACATAAAAAAGCGAGCTTACACGTAAGAAACGTGTAAGCTTGTTCCTTACACTCGTAATAAATGAGTGTATGAAAAAGCGAAGTGTGTACAATAATCGGAAAAAACGCCGTTAAGCGGTGGCGTTTTAGTCGCCTACCCCATAGTCAGATTAAATCCTGTCGCGGTTATGTTATCTAATTAGCACATTAAAACATAATTAATCATAATTCCACAAAACCGGCAACGTGGTTTAATTTAACTGGGCGGCAGGCCATTTGAACGCCGGTAAAAAAAATCCTCAAAAAACTTTAGACTATTGAAATATGCATTTAGTTTTCAGGCCTGTGTTTGCAATTAATGTCGTGTTTCTTATTCCTGGTAAAAATTTCAGTACCTGATTGCGCCATTGCATCTACCGTTTTACTTACCAACTTATCTTTACTTAGTATCAGAGATTCTCAATGTTGGCCTCAGGCGTGGGGCGGGTGGAGTTTGGTGGGCTGGGCTGCGCTAGGTGTGCTGTGTAAGGAACAAGCCATAACTGCTGTCCCAGTGGGTTTGCTGCTGCAGGCTGCCCACCTGCTCGTCACCACACCTCCTGGCAAGGTGGGTTGCACACTTCAGTCGTATAGTTTTAGTGTGATTATTTGTTCGGCTACATGCCGACCGTTTAGGAAAATTGTAAATTGTTTTAGATTTTGTCAGTTCACGTGTATAACCTATCAAGATCAAAAAATGTAACTCAGTACTCACTGCACTGCAGTGAGTGACAGAGAACGCATTTTCTCGTCGACGAAAACGTGAAGTCACGGATAGACAGACAGACGGACGGACGGACATGGCGAGCACAATAGTGCATTTTTTCTATAAATGAGAAAATGCGCTAAAAACGAGATGCGTTAAAATGAAGCCGTCCAATTGAGCCTCTAATGAAAATTGAACTTGCGTTATTGTGAAGTCACACACTTGCTTTTTCCTGTGAATAAACAGCTTTAAATGAATGCAGGGAATGCTGCCTAAACAAAGAAGAAATCTCGATAATTTTGTTAGATTTCATTTTGAAATACTTCCACTTCATACGAATTAAAATAATATGTAGTTTAACCTCAACCTGTCAATCATTGCATGAGTGTGTTTTGAATGACTAAATTAGATTTAACTTTTGTGTGTGTTTCTTTTCTAGAATCTTGTAATCTCTCATTCAAATTAAAATTAGTCATCATGATAGCTGTAAAATTATTTAAAATTTGTTACGTAATTTGATAGTTATTTATTCTCAATTTACCGTGTTGCTATATTTTCATTTTTCCGGTCACGAAGTTAAGTTTAACGTTTATCAACAGTAGCGTTTGAAACTCGTATTCATCATGATATCATATGATTATATAAACTTCACTATAATTGACACCCATTAATGATTATCTAAAGCGCTCGACATGAATTCATTTATATGTTAACTTCGAAATTTTTATTAAAAAATTTAATTTCAAAAGTGTACAAATTTGCACTGTAATTAGGTAAAATTTGGGTCCGCAATAGCCGTGGAGCGTTATAACTTCCACTGAATTGGCACGTAAATTGTTAATTAGGAACATAACCACTAATGGCCTAAACTCCGGTGGGAAAATGGTGGATGTCGAGCAAAATAATGTGCAAGTTTTATCAGTGATGGCCGCGATCTTATGTTTGGCTTAACAGTGATAGGAGAGATAGAGTGGCTCTTAAATTAACGCATTTAGCGGCGCGACTGAGAGCTGTAATCCGCTTGCTCCTCTTCAGCAGGAAAAATGAGAATTGTTCCGACGACCTGGTCAAAAATTGTCGAGCTTGGCTGAAAAATTCGAAATGTGAAAATGTGTTCCGAGGCTTGAATGAATTGCGCTGCGCTCTAAAGACTGGAGAAAATGAATTTTGTTTTCAAAAGTGCAATAAATGAATCGTGTTCTAAAAATTTTCAGTTATAAATTGTGTTCAAAAGACTTAGAAGTATTAATTGTTTTATAGGATCGACTAAAAAAATGAAAGAATGACTAAATTAGGAGAGGAAAATTCAAATCATTTAAATTATTTTAAAAATTATAATTCTAGGAGTGCTAGCTAGTATATGCACATATTTTGAATACTGTGAATACTAAATTGTATTTAGAAAGAAATTGTAATTGTGCTCCGAAACCTCAACCTATGGATTGTCCACCAAAATAGGAAACTACACGAGTTTTCGAAGTAAAAAGCAACGTTTTTATGAAAAGAGGAACAGTGAACGTGATAATAGAAAATTTTAAACTGTTTCACACCCAACTAAGTTGCTTTTGGTCGCATCAATGAAAACTTATATTGGGCTAGAATCTGAGGAATTTTCTAAACGTATTGATAGATTTCATAAATTATGGATCAGTTTCCTTTCTCATTCTCGATTAAATTTTCTAAATAAAATTGAATTAAAATTTTTGCCTGAGTTTGGATTTTTTAGTTCTTAATTATGCCCCTGTGCTAACGCATGTCTGATTACTGGCACACTATTACTCTTTCTATCCCTTAGTCGTCATAGCACCTATAGGTCATTAATTGTATATACTAATGCTTATATGCTTCTTGCCTATGTCCTGATAAGCTATAATTTATTCATTTAAATCCATCAGGTATCATATAGAACTTAGAACGACCGTAGTACACGGTATATTATACAGGGTGTTTCAGAATTAAGTAACCCTTTTAATTTGTTAATAAATAAAAAACTAAGAACGTTATGAAGTTGAAACTTGTTTTATTTAAAAGAAGAACATTTTTATGGTAATATTGTATC